CACTGTCCCTCCTCTGGACATGTCCAAACCATCTCAGTGTGTCCTCTCTAACTTCATCTCCCAGTTCAACCAGTGCTGGACCTACAGGAGCTCGTGAGTTAATGTACTTTCGGTCCCACCCCTCTTTTCTGATTGGCTGCTTCGCCACACAGAAAGGGAAGCCCCGCCCCTCATTATTCTCGCTGGTCCAAAGTTTTCCACGTCCGGACGAGCAGGGTCGGGTCAGAACCAGAACGTCATGGGTGAGTCTTTCCGAGCTGCTTCGGGTTCTTTCTTGAATCAGATGTTTTTCTAATGGAGTCAACTTTGACTGAATGTGCGTGCGCGTTTCCTGTTTGCGCAAGCATGTGCAGTCTGGTCGGTCAGTAAAGCAATCAATCATGACGGAGCTAATCAATAACTAATCAGCTGTATGTGCGTGGTGCATTCAAGGACACGACGAGAAAGAGGTTTTTTGTTTCAAAGTCCAAACTGAGATGAAAGGTGCCGCTACTGATCAGTGATTGATCCGGGACACAGGTTCTGGTTCTGTGAGGCCGTGGCCTGGTCCGTCAGGCCCCTGGAGGCGGGTCAGGACTGGTTCTGGTTGCTATGGTAATGCCTGCCTTGTTGTGGCCCCTGGGGGCCGACAGAGTTCTGCTCTGGTCCTGGTGACGGTTCACTGACTTGTGGCCTGGTTCTGTTTTTCAGCCAAATGTTCCGGATGTGGACCTGGGTACCGGACCCCACTGGACGCCATGAAGGGTGAGTCTGGACCCGCCTGTTCAAGGTTGAGGAGCGTGAAGTGCAGAACCACCAGACTGAGGAACAGCTTCTACCCTGACGTGGTCTCACAAATCCCTAACCATCTGCTCACACAGACTCATGTTCCGGCTGCTGATTAATGCACCATATTATTTATTTTATCATTTTTTAAATATTATTTCATGGTATTATTGTCTAATAAACCGTCAGGGTCCACCACATGCTCTGAACCTGCACTGGTCAAAGTCTCTAACGATGTTCTCATGGTCTCAGACAATGGACTGGTGTCTCCACTGGTCCTGTTAGACCTCAGTGCTGCATTTGATCCAGTTTTGGTTTTGAACCAGTTTGACATGACTGTCACGAGGAAGAGGGCCGGCTCCAGAGGAGGGGGCGTGCCAAAGACACCATCTTGGCACCAACAGAACTGGTTTGTGTTTCATGCTGTCTGTCTTCATACCAATCTACAGAATGGACGGTTAAAGCAGGATTGTTGCCGACTATAAACTTTATTGCAGCAGTGTAGAACTACACAACAAGCGCATCTCCCTAGGCCCCCCTCCGCCTGTGTCACACCCAAATATATCCCCCTGGGAACATAACCTGTACTAACAATCCACTTGTTACATCCTTTCTCTTTTTATAGTTGTTCTTTTTCAAAATGTAACATTTTCCTTATAAACAAAATAAACGTATTTTACAGAGCATTCAGATTTAAACATAGACACTTCCAAATAGTGCATGTAATTATATTGGCAAACTAAAAATACAATTATATATCTTCCTAGGTCTCAAGTGCACATTCTGTAAAATTATATTTTGATGATACATTCCTTACAAAACTAATGTATGGAATGAATAGCTCCTTTCACACCTTTTCCTCTTTCCCAGTGCAACAATAACCCAGAAACAAACAGAAAGTGGTTAAACATGTCATTTGATGTAGTGTAGTCCTTGAAATGGGCCGGTTTCTGAACCTGACGACCAGACCTTGTAGTAGCAGGTCACCAGCCTGATGACCACGTTCATCAGCTCCCACAGTTTGTGTGTTTGTCCCCGGGTGTTCGAATGTTCAGGTTGGACAGTAGTTGTGCCTGAGATGACCACCCGACTCCAGCTCCACCTCATAGGATCTGGGACTCTCTGGTCTAATCACTTTAGCTGTTTTCCAGGTTTTATAAAGCTCCAACGGCGTCTCTTTTGTAGGAAGAAGGGTCCGGGTCCTCCTACTGAGAAGTCTCTGTGCTGGACTTGAGGTGAGACCTTGGCTCGGTGTGTTGCGATGGTCCAATAGAGCCAAGTATGGATCCTGTCCAGCTGTTGCAGCTTTCTGCACGAGGAGTTTTGCTGTTCTCACAGCTGACTCTGCTTTTCCATTGCTCTGTGCGTATTCAGGGGAAGATGTTCTGTGTTGGAATTCCCACTTTTGGCTGAACTTTTTAAACTCGTGATGAGAATTGAGGTCCGTTATCTGAGATGAGCACATCTGGAATCCCCTGACGAGCAAAGTGTGCTTTCAGTTTGTGGATCACCGTGGTACTTTTGGTGTCTGGTAGAAAATCAACTTAAAAAATTTGAATAACCGTCCACAATAATCGGGAAGTCCTTATTGGGCCATGAAAACAGTCTGTTCCTACCTGCCCAAGGCCTGTAGACCGTGTCGTGTGGATGTAAAGTCTCTTTGTTGTTTGGGGTCCACTGACCTGCACATGTCACATTTGGAGATGAATGTCTTTATCTGCTCTTTCCCCCTTGGACACTTTTCCATCCTGAAAGCTCAGCTCATCCTGAAAAGTGAAGTGGTGTTGAATGTGTAGCTCCACGTGCTTCTTGTACTTTGGCCATGCTGTCAGGATCAACTTAACTTCCTGCAGCTTTGAGTCCTGTGTTGTTGCGTAGCGGACGGCTGTCGGTGTTTCTGCAGAGATGGTAGGACATCATGTTAACTGTCTCCGACTCTGTGACCCCCTGACTGTCGGGTCAACAAGCTCTGCTTGTCCGATAAATCATGTCTCGACCAGGCACATGATGGATCACATTAAAATCATATTTCTGCAGCCTGAGCTTTCTCTGTGATCTCTTTGGTGCACTAACCAGTGGTTTTCTCACAGTATTTCCCAGTGGCTTATGGTCACTCTGTACAGTCACTTTTCTACCATAAGTTTACTGGTGGAACGTTTCTGTCCCCAACACCATGGCCAAACGTTCCTTTTCTATCTGGGCATAACCCCGTTCTGTGTCGAAGCTGCTCCTGGTCCTGTCTCTGAAGCATCACATCGCAGGGTTAGCTCCTCATTTGGATCAAAGTACTTGAGTAGTGGTGCATTTGTTGTTTTATCTTTCAGCCTTTCTAAAGCTGTCTCGTGCACCTCTGTCCACATGTTCTCTTTGTGTGCAAGTTGTCTCAACACTTCAGAAAGATGATCACAAAACTTTGAAAGGTAGTTTAGCACACCTACAAGCCTCTGTACACCTGTGGGCCTCGGCAGCGCGCGGACTGCCCGTACTTTCTCTGGGTCAGCTCGAAGGCCTTCTGCTGTTAATAAGAGTCCAGTGGAGGGTACAGACTCTCTCCTCAGCCTAAACTGGTCTGCTTTGAGTTTAATGTCTCTTTGTCTGCACCTCATTAGAAAACATCTGAAGTTTTTGTCGTGGTCCTCGTCAGCTTCCTCCTTTGTGTCTCCCTCACCTGTAATCGTCTATCATCAGCGCCCCTGCTACGCCCTCTAGTGCTTGCACAAGTTTCCTTTGGAAAACTTCTGGAGCTGGGCTCATGCCCATCGGCATCCTGAGCCAACGGTATCGTCCGAATGGGGTTTGAAACGTGGTGAGATAACTGGACTCTTCGTCCAATTTGACATGCCAGAATCCATGTTTCACGTCACAAACGGTGAATACCTTGGATTTTGAGAGCCATCAATGGTCTTCTATTCCCTGGCTTTCTGCACTGTGTGACCTGTGCTGAGTCTGTGTGCATCACACTGTGTTGGTCATGTTGCAGTTGTTGTTGTTATCCATTATTGTTTCTGTTGGTTTCTACTTTTTGGTGTCCTGTTATGTAATCTGTTGCTGTGTTCTTGTTCTGTTTGTCCCTGTACAGCACTTTGGTGTGCTTTGTCACTATTTAAAGTGCTTTATAAATAAATTGGTAATGGTGGGGAGAGGAAAATGGCTCCTTTTCAGTGCTTTGTTTGGTTTGGGGTCTACACAGGTCCTTGGCTTTCCATTTGCCTTCGTCACTGACACCATGCTGCTTATCCAGTCAGTGCTGCGCTCCACAGGTGCTATGATTTATTTGCTCTCCAGATCCTTAAGTTCCTCCTTGATGGGAGCCATCATAGCAACAGGCACTCTGCGTTTGGGCAGTTTTACTGGTGGTACACTCTTTTATCTAGTTCAATGTTGTACTCGCCTCCTAGGCAGCCAACAGCTGTGAAAACACCTCTAAATTCAGTCTTTATTTTGTCCATGTTCATCCGTTTCTCACTGTTGTCCAGCATTTTATCTGAACATTGTGTTTTCACTACACTGTCATCACCAGAACGTTCTCGTACTGTACTTTAATCAGCTTCATGGCTTCACTGGCCTCTCTGGATCCTGTCCTCCTGGTCCACCACTTGAAACTCCAGCCTGTTCAGTTGATTATTTCTTGGATTTCAAAGTTTTACTTTACATTTACCAAGTGGTCGTATCTTACTTTTGTTGTACTGACAAGTACTTTCTCTGTGTTTTCAATGGTGAGTTTGGGTTCACCAGTATTGGAATAACTTTACATGTAGCGCCACATCTATCTGAAAACTGACAATTTCTTTCTCCATCAACTTCCTGTAAAGAGATGTTGACTTTTGCTGTGTGTCCTTCACTTGGTTTATTGTCTCCTGGTCTTCTCTGACATCTGTTATTGTCATAATGTCCTCACACGACTCGCTTGACTCTGAAATTGTGTGTACCCGTCTGCCTGTCCTGCTTTTTCCATGCTTGGATTTCATTTTGCAGCAAAGTGGTTCTCTTCTCCACATTTCTTACACTTTTCCCGTATGCTGGACATTTGTGTTTATTTTTCTCATGTGTGTCCACACAATTGACAGTGAATCTCATCCCGTCGGTCTCGTCTCAGACTCTTTTTCGTTGCATGTATTTCCTCCACCACTTGCCCTTGTATGGTTTTGCTGTTCTTTGACAGTTCAGCAGCTCTGCATAATTGCATGCACTTGTCCAGAGTTAAGTTTTCTTCTCTTAAGTCTTTCTCTCATGGCAGAGCTATTTGTCCCACAAACAATGCAGTCCCTTATTAGTGAATCCTTAATGTCGCTGAAATTGCAGGTGTTGGCCAATACTCTTAAATCCATAACACATCTGTCAATATTCTCATCCTGTCCTTGGTCTCTGACAAAAACTTGTAACGCTCGACAGTCTCAGACTGCGATGGTCGTCCAACGGTGTCATCAGTGAACTCACTGTTCTCCTCGCAGCTGTAGAACCGCTCATCAGTGTTGTCTAAAGTTCTCCCCCTTTCTCCAAGAAGGTAGTTGAACACCTTCACTTTAGTGGTTTCCTCTGCGTCGGGCACAGTGAGGTCTATATACAGTGTAAACTCCTCTTTCCAACTTTTCCAGGTCTTTGCTAAGTTGTCTGAATCCAAAGAAAGTGTAGGCGGCGGCCTGAGACCCTCCATTGTAACATCTGTTGTTCTTGTCTGCTCCTTCTTCGTCTTCTCCACAATGACCAGCTGCTCCAACTCCAGGGCTAGGCTAACAAGTTAGCAACACTTTTAGCTCTTCATGGCTTGGCACAAACTTATTTTGGCTGACTTCACGACCGCTGCACCACGTTTCATGCTGTCTGTCTTCATACCAATCTACAGAATGGACGGTTAAAGCAGGATTGTTGCTGACTATAAACTTTATTGTAGCAGTATAGAACTACACAACAAGTGCATCTCCCAGGGCCTCTCCTCCTGTGTCACACCCAAATATACCCCCCTGGGAACATAACCTGTA